AAACGTCAGGCGAATAAACATATTGTCCCAGCGATCGAGTCGTCTTCTACTTATCAGTTATCGATTTTTTACACAATACCTCTCCTTTCCCCCTTCTTCCGCTCTCCTATGACTTTTAATTGTCCCTTCCCCCCATAAATGTAGCTTGTTTTCGTTGACGATTTTATTTCTGTAAATATTCCCACCCGACATGCCGATCTAGCATACTGGCACAGGCTAACATAGTCCACAGTGGCGAGTCGGCGGCACAAACATACAATTATTGCTTTTCTACACGTTAAGTTTTAGTTGTTGTACACACACCGCAAGTAGCCACCCCATTTGTTGCTGTTTTTCCATCTCTGACGATGGACTCCTGCAGGAGCCCGAAAGCTCAGAATAAAATTCAAATCGTTCCGGTGTTCGATCATGTCTTCTTTACCGATACAAATACTTGGAACGCGAACTTTCTCTTTCAAAAGTCCAGTATATTGATGATGATGATAATAGGCATTATTTTTAGCTAACTCGGGAGTTGCTCGATTTCGAAGAAATCTCCTATGCTATTAAGTACGACAGAACCAAACCTTTTATTTTTATGAATTATGATATGAAATAACCCCAAAACAAGTAAGAAAAGATTGAAATATATCCCTTCCGAAGTTGCTTAGATGCAAATGAATCCAAGTTTAAGGAATCGCATGTATTTGCAGAAACAAGGAATAGTTTTAGGTTCAAAATTAATTTTTGTTAATTTTCTGAAATTATTTGCCAGAAAATGCAGTAACAAAAAAGAATTTGACCGCATTTTATTTTACCGCAACCACTATTTGGGACGTAACCAAAACTACCCGTCTACTGTTGCGAAGATGAAGGTAAAACCAAATCTCATTCAATCTAAATCACGTAGACAGATATTTTTTGTACACTATAATTGTCGCTGATGCGTACTTTAGAAACAGAACAGAGGGAAGAACAGGAATTATATCAATATCTTAGTATGCATTCGACCACTCTTTTTTGCATTCGCAAGCTTAGAATAGAGCCTTAAGGTAATACACTATGGCTAAAAATACTTCAATAAAAACAGTAAAGTGAGCTGTTCCATTTTTAGCCAAATTGTATCGTTTACCTTCAGGCAGATTTTAAAAAATCTTGTCAAAAATCTCCATTTTCATTTTTGACATTACCTTGGAAAAAGGTGACATATCTAAAGTGCTTTTTTTAAAGGTAACCTATTATAGAAAGTTGTTTTTCTAATCTATGCTTAAGCCTGAAACAACAACAGGCTCTCCGTGCCCGGTCAAGTGGAATTTCTCTGACTCTGAACCAGCTCTTCCT